GACACAGAGAGAGAGTTGGTAGAGACAGACAGACAGACAGACAGACACAACACAAGAACCCCGTCATATCTAATAGTACAATAAAATAACAGCATTAATACCAAGTGTTCAGATTCGCAGTAACTCTTAAGTAATATTTTCCTCGTAACTGGTGATGTGAAAAAAGTCCTATTACACTTAACTAACTTATCTGCTATAGAAGAACAACACACAGAAGAAGAAAAAAACATTAATAATAATAACAAAAGAATAATGAGTGTTTCCTTTAACTAGATACGTTCATTTAGGACTAGTTAATGAGGGGTGTAATTACTCTATAACTCTGCCTTAATTACGTATCTTTATTTAGAATTAGTTAAGGGAGATAATTTCACTGGGACTTGTAAGTATATATGAGTTCGCTTAATATGAGTTAATGATAAGTTGTATTGAGGAGGTAAGGTAAGGTAAGGTAAAAATACGGTAAGGTAAGGTAAGGAAAGGTAAGGTAAGGTAAGGTAAGGTAAAAATAAGGTAAGGTAAGGTAAAGTAAGGTAAGGTAAGGTAAGGAAAGGTAAGGTAAGGTAAGGTAAACACCACTTCACATACTTCCACAATGGTGTCAGTTTCAGTGTTGGTATGAGTGACAACACTTCCCTCGTCGTCAGTTCATCACAGAGTTTTGACTGCGTATTATCAATCCAATTCCCGCCTTTCTTTACCTGAATTATAGATGGTTTTCACGCACTAGGGATTTTTTTTCCCAAGGTCGGCTTAATATAGTTCAGTAGCCAATTTAATGTGGGTTTGTGAGTGGAGTGGCAGACGTTATTTGTGAGTGGCAGACGCTGAGTTATAAGTGGCAGATGCTAAGTTTATAAGTGGCAGACGCTGAGTTTATAAGTGGCAGACGCTGAGTTTACGAATGGGAGACGTTTAGGGTTGTTTTGGTGAACCTAACTTGTATTGTGGATTCAGGAAGCATAGACTACCATCACGATAGACCCCCATCCTATGAAGAATAAAGGGCGAATGGCATTAGTTATACATTTTCAAGTCGCTTTTGTAACGTCATTTCCTGTTTCATTAGTCTAGTGTGTAGTTTTAACATTAGTTCATTCATTATCGGTCATTAAGGAGTTGATTATAGCCTTCGTAAATTACCTCGTGTCAATTACTGCATCATTGGGTATTTTGTTGCGTCATTGGTGAGGTTTCTTTTGGGGGGGGAGGGGGTTGATTTTGGGCTCTTCCTTGATGCAGAGTCACACAGGTACACTAATTCAGGGTGTAGTTGGTGTGTTGGTGGCAGCTTCTACACCTTGACGCGGGGTCAGACAGGTACTCTAATGAGTTAACCCCTTGAGGACGATGACTTAACCCCTTGAGGACGATGACTTAACCCCTTGAGCACGATAACTTAACCCCTTGAGGACGATGACTTAACCCCTTGTGGACGATGACTTAACCCCTTGAGGACGAAGACTAAACTCCTCGAAGACGATGACTTAACCCCCTTTAGGACGATGACTTAACCCCTTGAGGACGATAACTTAACCCCTTCCCTGACTTGACTGACAATGTATATTCTCGTGTGTGTGAATTTTTTTTTCAAGTGTAGAATAACTCAACCACTGACTAATTCATATAATCAACCCCCCTTCTTTATCTACCCATTATATCATCTTCTATCCTTCCTCTCATCATCAAATTACTTCCCTCCTACGCTACAGCAAGAATCAAATATTAAAAATAATCACCAGAAAAACACTATCAGGGGTCGTAAAGTGGAGTTAGAATGCATTAAGTAAACACATGTATATTTTAGCGCTGTCTGCCTCAGTTTTTTTTCACCTGAGTTGAGAAATATTTACCAAGGACAGATCTACCTCTCACCTGGACGATATTACTCATACTTAACTATTTCTCACACCAGCTGTAAATAAATATCGGAAATATTGCTCACATATGTAAATTAACTGATATAATAATTACATATTATATACATGTAATAGATATATTCTAAAAACGATCTGGAACAAAATATTAAAAAAAAAAGAAAATAAACTTGAGATTATGTTATGGATATTGAGGGAAATTCACAGAAAAATCACATCAAAATAACTGTATGTGTATAAAAATTTACTGAAAAAAAAGTTGTGTATTTGAAGACCCGTTTTCTTGTAAACTTTAACATTCAGAGAAAACGAAGTATTTCTCAGTGTTTAAGTGAGACTATTCCAAAACAGAGCTTTATCGGGGGGGAGGGGGGGAGGGGTCGGCTCTCTTCTGTGATCTTGAAGACTCTTATTGGCTCAGTAGAGGAATAAAAGGTCGTGATTGGAGGAAAGTCAGTCATAATAAAATGCTCTTAAGATTGGAAAGTTGTGATTGGTTAAACGGAATAGTGGTAGATCTCGATTGGCTGACAAATGGAATGTCTGGGTCCTAATTTGTTGAGCAGAGATATACCAAGATCCTGATTAGTTCAACATAGCAGTGTCTGGGTTCCTGATTGGTTGAATAAAGAAGTACCTGGTGTCCTGAGTGGTTGAAAAGAAGAGTACCCTGGTCGTGATTGGCTACACAGTTGCTAGGAGGGAAGAGGAATGCAGTTCTAACGATAAAATCAATGGCTTAAACAGCGTCAACCACATGCATTATTCCCGTCGCTGCTGTGGGGCCACTTCACCTTCACCGCCACCTTTAGTCCCCCACCGTCACCTTCAGCCCCACCTTCAACCCGCCACCGTCACCTTCAGCCCCACTTTCAGCCCCCTGCACCTTTCAGCCCCCACCGCCACCTTTGGCCCCCCACCGTCACCTTCATTCACTTTCAGCCCCCTAGCCCCACCTTCAGCCCCCCACCGACACTATTAGGATGTATCTGCCATTGTCAAAAAGTATCGCTAACAGTTCATGGTTATTGTTAGCTTGAGGAGAGAATAGTGTTGTCGACTAGTGTGTCTGTACGAGTATTATGAGAGACATTATAAAACATCTATGCCAACTCAGTCTTCACACTCACCTCCTCACCAGTGTAATCAGTGTTACCATCAGAGGACATAAGTTATTCATAGCTCTGATAACACACAAGGTTGAGGTGCAGCGGTGAATCGTGTTGGCTATAGTGTTTCTTATCAAGTGCTGGACCGTTTTCTTCTTTCTTCTTCGGTGTCAAATTTAGTGTTGGTGTCCATTGAGAGTGAAACAGAGACAGACAGACAGACAGACAGACAGACAGACAGGACACCTACGCCTCTTCTCCTCACACAACCGGGGTCTGGACAGCCCCCCCCCGGACAAAAGCTTCCTGGACAAAACCCCCATCATTTAAAAGTGTAAAATAGGTTCGGTTATGTTAGGTTAGGTATTGCAGCTCCCAGAAATATGATGTATCGATTGTAATGAATATTTTAGTCTTCCCGGCCACCCTCTTCCTGTGAACTGTCCCACCACTTATTCTCAGTGTCCACCACCACTAACACCACCACCACCACTACCACCACTTCCACCACTAACACCACCACCACCACCACTACTACCACCACCACTACCACCGCCACCACCACTACCACCATACCACCACTAACACCACCACACCCAGTATATGAAGTGAATAGTATATGCTCTACGCTTTTTTATAAGTACAAGAACATTTTATAAGTAGGTGGAAGGGTACATACATACTTACGGCCTTTTTTATAAGTAAGTGTATGAATGAATTGTCCATGTATCAAGTGAGAAGTGTCTATACTTAAGTCTTACGCCTTTTTATAAGTAGAAGAACAGTTATAAGTAGATGTATTCATGGATTATCGATTTGGTAAGTAAATAAAGTGTACTTATCGACGCGTTTTCTTATAAGTAGTTTCTTCAGTAACGAATTTTACTCCCGCTGTTATATTATACAGTGAACAAAATATACTGACTCTTGTTGATAAGCAAAAAGGCCTTCCTTATTCTCGACCTGTCTACCCAGTGCCCACCCAGTGCCAGCCCAGTGCCCATCCAGTGCCTATCTTGTGCCTACCCAGTGCCTACCCAGTGCTCACTCGTTGATACGTTTACTAAGGTGTGACTAGGGGGAGGAGAGGAAAGGAGGGGAGGGGTTAGGTAGAGGCTAAGGGGTCATTATTTTGGACATTGATAAAAGGTAAATAGTGATTATTGCATTTCACTTGACACACACACACACACACACACACACACACACACACACACACACACACGGGTTCTAAAAAATCAGTTTCTTGTCACCTTGGGACTCGAAACTAACCCTCAGGAATAAGAAACAGCTTAGAGGTGAATGTCCGAAGAAATGTGGAATTGTATCATAATGTTGAATAATATACCGTGTCAGTGATGTGTGTGTGTGTGTGTGTGTGTGTGTGTGTGTGTGT